CGCCCACGAGGGAAGGAAGTGAGAGGCTGCACAGCCACAGCCACTGAACAGCCTCCCCTGCAGCTCCAGCCCTCTGCTCACCCCAGCTGGGGGCCCACCCTCACTTCCCAGGGCCCAACTGGAAGACGTTGGGTCAGGCATTAGGACAGACAGAAGGTCAAGGCTATGTGCAAGCACCTGCACAGCACCCACAGCTGGGCCCAGACATGTTTTGGGGGAGCAGAGAGGGCAACTCCCCATTTAATTTCCCCATTCCCAGCTTTGGGATCTCCAGCAGCCAATGGCTGAGCACCCCCTCATCACTCACCTCCAGGAAGCGGAGCAGCTCGATCTCGTAATCTTTCTTTTTCTGGAAGGAGATGGAGATGTGTGGTTACACAGAGATCCCTTACTCCATATTCCTGCCCCTTGCAGCCTCTGATCCAGCCCCATCCCTTGGCAACAGCACCCTCCACCTGGCCCATCTGTTTGTCCCACACAGGAGACAGGATCCAGGGAGGTGACCGAGGAACTCAGGGAGAATCGGTGATGCAGACCAGCACAGGGACTGAGCAAAGGTGAGGGCTTTGTTTCCAGGGATGTTTGTATCCCAGACTCTGCACTGGTGCCCACCTGCCTCTTCCCCTACCTGTCCATCACTCACCTGGTCACACTTTTTGTGGTAGGCGTCCTTTTCTTTCTGGGAGAGCAGCTTCCACTGCTGACTGCACAGCACCATCCGCTCCGTGCTGGGCACGTCTTTCATGTTGGCCATCAGCTCTGCACAGTACAGGGAGTAGCTATTCCTGAAAAACCCCCAGAGAGACCCAGTGTTAGGGAAAACTTGCCCTTGTGCAGCTGGCTTGGTCCAAAAGGAGTCTCCAAAACCCCCCAGCTAGGCTGCACCAGGCAAGGAAGTGAAGTGCCTGTGTTTTATGGCAGCTGGGTGCTGGATCACCCCCTAAAAGCCAGAGTATCACTGTAAACCTCACTCAGATTCTCCCCAAAATGTCTATTTGATGTATATTTAAGGACTGGTTTAAAGGGATCATCTTTAAGTCTGGAAAAGCCCTCTAAGATCCTTAGTCCAACCATGAACTAACACTGCCAAGGCCACCACTAAACCATGTCCTCAAGTGCCACATCCACACTTTTTGAACCCTTCCAGTGATGGTGACTCCACCACTGCCCTGGGCAGTCTGTTCCCAGGCTTGTCCATGAAAAATGTGTCCTACAAACCCCAGGTAACCCCTCTGTGTCTGTGACCCCAGGAGTTATCTGGGCTCCCCAAGCCCAGCAGAGCCCAGTTTCCTCTCTGGCAAGAACCAGCACCCCGCAGGCCGTGGCTCCAGGAGGGACAGGACTCACGGGGGAGGTTTTGTGGGTCGTCCATCGAACTTGTCCTTGAGCTGCCTCTCGGCCTTGGTGAGGGTGGAGCGGGTGATTCCCTCCTCGCTGATGTTCAGCTCCGGGTGCTTCTGGATGTAATCCCGCATGATCTCCTGTGGGAACGGAGAGCGGTCAGAGGGGCTGCCACCCCCGCTGCCGGGCCCGGAGGAGGAGGAGAGAGAAGCCAACCATTGCCCTGATCCTGTGCCCTGGGATGCTGCTGCCTGCCTCGCACACGGCTGGAGAGGCAGGGCTCACACTCACTAGGGACCTGCCAGGACCTGCCTGATCCCCACGCTGCCTATTGGGAGAGGCCTTGCAGGGCTGGGATGCAGAGAGGCTCAGAGTGAATGTTGGGACCAGTGTGGAGGGGACCGGGTGAGGCTGCTCCCTACCTCGTACTCCTTCCGCTGTTCCAGGGCCTTATGAATCCATTTCAGCCTCTTTTTATCCGAGAGTTGAGACCACTGCTTGCCCAGCGACTCTTTCACCTCCTTCGTGGTGGCCTGAAAACCCAAAGCCAGAGGTGAGGGCAGAGGGGTAAAATCCAAAAAAAAAAGAGGGATGAAAAAATATGAAAAAATGGCAGAAAAATGGCAAAAAAAAAAGGCGTGGCCTGCTGGGGCCTGATAGCAGCCAGCATGGGGTGGCTGGGAGCCGTGGGGCTGTGTGGGAGTGGGGGGCATGGCCAGAGGTGGATGTCTGTGCTGGAATCCTTTCCTTTTCCTGCCCTGACTCAGGCTGTGGTCACCCCTTCCTGGCAAAAAGTGGGGGTTGGATCCCTGAGCCTCTTCCAGGTGTGCAGAGCCCCTCCTTACCTGGGTCCAGGCTCCGGGAGCTGCTAGCGGTGTCTCCTCCATCCCGACCCCCTGAAATGCTTCTCTCCCTTCCCCCTCCTGCCCCAGCAGCGGGGTCCAGGACCCCCCAGCACTCACACTCGCACTCACTCCCACCCACCGTACTCACATCTGGACGCACTTTCAAGTAGATCTTCTTCTCGTGGTTGTACCACAGCTGCTGGGGGGTCTTGGGCTTCTCGGGGACGTCAGATTTCTTGGCGTTCTGGATGAGATCCGGGTGGTCTTCCCTTCAGCAGGAGGGCAGGTGGGGAAGGGAGAGCGTCAGGGAGGTGGCAGTGGCAAGGAGAGCACCCCTAAACCTCATTGCAGGGCAGAGCCTCCATGGGCTCAGGTGCTGGGGGGTCCCCAAAAAGAGCAGGAGGGTTTTAGGACAGATTTAAGTTCATCCCTCCTTGGGGAGCATTGGCTACAGCTTGGCTCCAACCCTGAAGCAGCAGCAGGTCATTGGGAATGCCAGGATCCACCTGGATCACAGCAATCACATCCAAAGGGAAGGTCTGGAGTAACTGGGGGGACACTTCAGCTTTTATCAGCGCTGTCCCCACCTCACAGACCCTGACCCCCAGAGCAGGGCTGGTTTCTCATCCAGTCTCCCAGCTGGAGGGTTGCTCTCAGACACCTTTTCCTTGCTCTCTTTTTGCTGAATTTCCCCCTTCTCTTCAAGCCAAAAGCCCATCCGTGGGCTCTATGAGCTATGCACAGGAGGGCAATCTGGATCTGCCTGAAGGGGCCTGGGGAAATATGGGGAGGGGGGCTGCCTGCTCACCTGAACCTCGCCAAGTTCCTCTCAAACTCCTGCTTCTCTCGCTGAAAGTCCTGGATATATTTCATCTGGGGACACAAAGCCACCACAGAGGTGGAGAGGGACGTCAGCACCAGGAACAGGCAGGAAGACACATCCCCATCTACCTGGCTGGGCATCCCACCACCCCAAGAGGGACTCAGGGGCTCTCCAGCCCATGGAATGGTCCTGCAGAGGGTTTCCAGCCTGCCCAAGACTCAGCAGCTGGACATCTCCTCTCTCTGTGTACCCCAGCAGCCCTGGGAAAGGGCACAGCAGGACCTTGTGCCCTGCACTTTTCCTGGACACCCCAGAGTTAAAGCTGGGCACCCCAAAGCCCTGCCCAGGCTCTGGCATCTCCAGGTGGGCACATCTCTGCTCCCAGCCTCTCCCAGAGCCTGTCCCTGTGTCCCTCACCCGGACAGGGTGGCACAGTGGGGCGTGTGCCTTAACCCCTTTAAACACAGACCCACCCAGTGGCAAAGCCACCATCCAGGTCCGTCAGGAAGAGAAGGACCAACGGACAGACCCAACCGGCCTCCACCCCAGGGATCCTGGGAACCAGGACAGGAAAAGCCAAGGAAGTCTTACAGGTCTGACAGGACTAAAGGAACACCTGGCTTCTCCTGTCGAGAGCTGCATTGAGCCCTCACCAGGCAGAGCTTGGGCTCTGCTGGTTTTACTGGAAGAGCTGAGCAGAGCCCAGCACAGAGAGGCCCATGGTGGGAAGGGGCTTGCTGACCCCTCCCTCACCTCCTCCATACCTTTTTCTTCTCGGGAAGCTCCTTGTATTTTTTGGACAGGATCTTGGTGAGATCCAGGTTGCTCATTTCGGGGTGAAGCTTGGCGTATTTGGCTCGCTTCTCCATGAAGAAGCGGAAATAGGGAGTCAGGGGCTTCTTGGGGAAGTCGGGGTGTTTCTGGGGAGACAGCAGAGTGGAGGACACTGAGCATGGAGCTGGCAGCACCACTGGGACACAGCCTAACCCATGGCTCCCCAGACCTGGGGGCTGCCTCCATCCAGCCCTGCTGGTCATCCAGGCAGGCAAGGAGGGGGAAACTGCTGGGAATGAGGGCTCCCCAAGGAACTACAGCATCCCATGGCTGGGAGCCTTGGGAGCAGCCTGCAGCCATCCAGAGCTGCCAGCACAGAGCAAGAGGGGACACTGGGGCAGGAGGAGGGGATGGAACCCAGCTCCCAGGGATGCACCCGGCAGGCCAGGAATAGGACAGCAGCTCCCAGCCCCTCTGGAGCTAAACTTGGATGCAGGCTGCCAGCAGTACAGCCAGCCATATTAAATGTACCCAGGAGTTGGCCCAGGCCCAGAGCCACGGCCTCCAGAGCCTTGGGCAGCCGGACACTGGGATTAGGGGCACTGAGGTGCCTGCAGGGGCTCCCACGGTGGAGCCACATGGATCTGAGGTGCCACAGGAATGACAGGACCACATCTTGGGGAAGTGTGGGGTCACCCTTTAGAGGCTGAGCCTAATTCCTGCCCAATACCTTGAGCTTTTTGCCTTTGTAAGGATTCTTCACGTGCTCTTCAGCGTCCATAATGAGCTCTGTGAGGGTCCGGAATTTCCTAACCTGTGCAGGAAATGAAGAGATAAAGATTTGAATAGGGGGCAGGGCAGATTCCCAGCATAGCAGAAAGGCCACTGGGTTTTGTAATGCCACCCCAAAAATGACTGATCCCAGCCCCTCTGAGGGGGTCACAGGATGGTGCCAGCACCAAGGGCCAAGGGCTCTGGGCACTCAATCTGGACAATTCCAACAGCCCCAGGAATGTCAGTAGGACACTCAGACCCTGCCACAATGCCCCCAGAAAGCCCCATGAGGTGTCAATTACCTCATTAGAGATCTCCATCCACTTCATCTTGCACATCTCCCCTGAGAAGTCCTTGAAAGCCACTTTTTCCCAATCCAGGTGGGACTCGGTGGTTTTGAACTTGCTCCCGTCGTTGGAGGGCAGGTTATTCTTCATGCACTCCAGGAGGGTTAGCATGTCCTCCTGCGACCAGCGGTCTGAGCAGTGAGAAACAGGATCAGGCAGGGGCAGGAAGCCTTTTCCCTTCCCTTCCCTTCCCTTCCCTGCCCTTCCCTTCCCTTCCCTTCCCTTCCCTTCCCAGGGACTACAGCTCCCGGCGTGCCGCTCCGGACCGCACGCCAGGACACGTAATCTCCACATGCTGCCTCTGGAGATTAAAGATCAAAGGGACGTGGCTGTTTCCATCACCCTCGAGCAACTCTCTACGGGCCAAAACAATCTGGGCAAAGCTAGAAATTCCACTCGGTGCAAACCAGAGAGACTCGCTCATCGCAGAGAACCATCAGATAAGGGATGGCTCTGCTGCACGGGAGCAGAGGGCTATTTCATACCCCTAACATGGGAGCAATGAGCTCTCCAGCCAAGCAGGAATCAGGAAAACCCACTTTCTAAGTGGATGTGTCCAGAGCAACTGGAAAACCTCAGCGTTGCTTTTCCTGCACCTCAGGCAGCTTTGTAATCACCTGGGCCCAGCTCCACCGTGACCTCTGCCAAGGTCAAAGCTCCCAGATCACAAAGTGGGGGGGGCAGAGCCCAGCACTGCCCTCCTGTCTCACAGAGGGGTCTCTGACAGTGCAGGGTGATGTTCATGTCACCCCAACATCCCCCAAACTGCTGGGAGGAGCATCCCCAGCTCCCATAGGAACACGCTACTGGAATGGTGGGATGGGCACGTGGCAAAGCCGGAGAGCCTGGAGCAGCCTGGAGGCCAGGAGAGGCAGCAGCACCGTGCTGGGACAGGATATCCCAGCCCTGAACACCTCATCCTGCCCCAACCTTGGGGCTGCTTCCTTGCCAGGGGAATTCCTCCCTGCTCCGAGCTTCCAGGCCAGCAGGGGAGCACAGCCCAGGGCGCTCTGCAAACATGGGTGGCCCTGGGGAATGCAGCGGGGCCTGGGAGCGGAAGGAAAATTCCCTGGGGATGGGCTGGAGGCGGAGCAGAGCCCGGAGCCGCCCGCCCACACAGCCCCGGCTGCCTCAGCCCGGATGGGCACATGGGCACCGGGGTTCCCGCAGCACAGCATGGCATTCCCTGCCTCACACCTCTGCCAGGTGAAGGCCGAGGTGTTTGGGGCCATGGAGCCCCCCAGAGATGGGGACAGGGCGGCTCGTCATGGATCTGAGTGGAGCATCTCTGCCTCCATCTCCAGGAATGAAAGCAAGCTCCCAGAAATATCCAGCAGCACTGATTTCTCCAGCTGCAGCTCTCCTTCCACTCAAGACTCAACATGAGGAAAAACACCTCCACCTCCTGCCCTTGCAGGAGTCTGGGGAAGGACAATTCCCCTGGATTCCCAAATCCAAGCAAGGGATGTTAAAGGACATATGGCACCTGGAGAAGGGAGCATAGCCAGGACATGACCCCCTCATCCTATTTCCCCTGATGGACCTGCCTGGTTGGGGGTCAAGGCAGGAATAGTTTAGGATCCAGCTGGTCCCTTGAGTGACCGCATTAGGAATTAATAAGGAGGGAGAAGACAGAAAAAGCCCCCCTGGAAAGCCTGGTGGCTTGGGGTGTGTCCCCATGCTCATGGCTTCATCCCAAAACACCATGAAGAGGCAAAAGAGATGGGAAACTCCCATTCCCTACAGAGCTGGGGGAGATCAGAGCTGAGGGAGGGAGAACACAGCCCCAAATTCTGTCTTCCTGTTTTTCCCGTCCACTTTCCAAGCCTCCCAGGCAAGGACCAATGAGGCAGAACAGGGCTGGGAAGCTGGTGCCAACTTTACTTGCAGAAATCAGGAGGAATTACCAAAAGCAACACAGCCACAAAATTCCAGAGGGGATGGAGAAGGGGATGAGACACCCCCCCAAACCTGCCCCCATCAAGCCCTGTGCCTCAGTTTCCCCCTCAAATCCAGAAACACCCGGAGACCTTTGGCCCCGGGTGAACCCTCCACTGGCACACAGCCGGAACAACCACATCCCAAAGGAAAACATTAAAAACCAGTGGAAACATCCCAAAATCCCTGCTGGCAGCAGCGTGGGGACAACAGGACCCCCACACTCAGCCCTCCATCCCCATCCCTCAACCTGGGGCACGCTGAGGAACGCTGGAATTGCGGCGCTCACCCAGCAGGATGAATGGGGCTGTCTGTGCCCTGGGACCGATTTATCCCGGCTCTCCTGGCACCGGCCGGGCTGGGTCTATATTAGGAAAGCTGCCCCGGTGTAATTAAATCCATCTCAAGTCCCGGAGAAGGACACGTGCTCGGCCGGGTTCGCTCGAGGCAACAACCCCGACTGCCGCAGGGACGGAGGAAAACGGGGGGACCCGGCAGGTGTGAGGGGCTGGACGGCGCTCCACAGGTCTGGGGGAGCCAGGGGGTTTTTAAGGGGTGGAGTGGCAGAGCCCTGCGAGCTGCCCTAAACAAACATCTCTCTTGTTTCCCTTGTTTTCCTGCCCCTTTTCCAATAAAAGCTGAAGCTCTGATGTCATGCTGGGGTCTGGAAGCTGGAGGCCCAAGGTAACGGCTCGGCTTTTAATGCAGCCCAGATGTGAGCAGGGAGGGCAGCACCTCTGTGCCAGCCCCCCCTTCCCAATCCCCCCCAGGAGCATCCCAGTGCCAAGGGGCTGCTGGTGCACTGGAGCGTGAATCCGTGTGCTTGTACACGTGTGTGTGTGTGTTCCCCGGGGGGGATCAGAACTCGGAGAGGCAGATTTCCCCCCACCTCACCCTGCTGGCAGCCGGGATCACAGATCCTCCATCCCTCCTCCCTCTCCATCCCTCCTCCTCTGCCATCCCTCTGAGAAAACGGCCGCTCTGAGGTTTATTTATTATTATTTTTAAGCGTGGCAGCAGCATTTCTCTGGGAGCACATGCTGGGGGAGCTGCCGGGGGCTCACCTTGGTTTTTGGGAGCTGTCATTTCCAGGTCTGCAGGGCACTCAGCTTCGCCGTTCATCCTCCACCTGCCTGTGCCCAGCACGGTCCCGCCGGCTCCCTCCTCACCCTCTTCCCGAAATCACTCCCGCACGGCTCTGCAAGGAAAAGGAGAACCCTGCTAGGCATCCCCACCGTGATGGGGGTACCCCAGCTCCTAACGGGGAGTGGGGGAAAGAAACGTGATCCACCCATCCTCTCATTCCCAATGAATGAGTGCAGGAATATCCCCTCCCACCCATCCCTGTGGGATCTGGGGAGAGCTCCAGCATGGGGGATCCTCCGTGGTGATGTGACCCCCACGTTGGGCAGGGGAGGAGAAAAGGGGTGTGTGGGCAGGGGAGAAGGGTGCAGGGGTTTGTCCTCAAGGTGGGGAAAAGGATCTGAGAGGAATCCCAATAAATCGCAGAGGAGACACGTTCAAGGTGGCTCCCTGGGGTGGGTGGGATCCAAAAATCTGGGATCAAGAGAATCTGAGGCAAGAGGGCTCCAAGGGATCTCCTGTAAGGGGGTTCACTCCCCCCACTACAAAATGGGGGTTTCAAAGGAAGGCCCACCACAGATCTAGCAAAATCCTCCCCAGAGATGGGGACATGCCTGGAGAAGAGAGGGGTCCCCCAGATCCAAGGGAGCTGGAGGGGGGCATTTGGGGACCTCGGGGGGATTCAGGGGTCTCCCAAGGGAAGAGAACAAGTTGGAGGAAAGTATTTCAACAGGGGGGGCTCCAGGGGAAGGATGCCCTCAGACCCCATTAGGAAGCATCTTATGTCTCCATGGGGAAGGATAACCTAGGGAGGGAGACCCCAAAACTTGGTTGGGGGGGTGGCACAACAGTAGCCTGGGGGGATCCCCACGGGGGATTCCATCGGGGGAGCCCCTGGAGGGCAGAGCGGGCAGGAGGCCTCAGGGGGATCCCCTGAGGGACAGGCCGCAGGNGTGGGTGATGGTGCGCACGGTGGTGGCGCTGAGCCAGGGCATGCCAAAGAGGGCTGCCAGCCCCCCCATGGCCACGATCAGCAGCAGATCCAGGTGGAAGCCGGTGCCCTTCACCAGCTTCCTCTCGGGCTTGCTGACAATGAGGCTGTGGGGACACAGGGAGCAGTTGGTGACACAATGCCAGGGGGGGTCCCCTCCATCCCCAACCCACCAGGCACCCCACAGCCCTCCCCTGCCCATATCCCCGTCCTCACGTGGTGATCTGTGTCTCGAGGAAGATGAGGATGAAGACCAGAAGGGCGGGAATCACGGAGGCAAACATCATCCAGATGGGGAAGGAGGTGTTGATCCCCATGGGGTCGATGAACCAGCCCCGGGCGGTGGCGTTGGTGACCTGCAGCCCTTTGGGGACGCTGAGTTTCTGGAGGGGAGCAGAGATGGGACAGTGAGGGGTGGGACACAGGGACACCCAGCCCCGTGTCCCCATGTGGGGACACCCTTTCCCCCCAGCCCTGCCCTCCCAGACCTGGGTGTAGGTGTCATTGATGAAGAAATCAGCCAGTGCCATGATGAAGATGGAAATGGGCACCCCAAAGTCCCCGATCAGGCGCCGCACCTGTGGGGACAGCATGAGAAACCTGCAGGGCCCCCCAGCCCGGGGGTCCCACTGCCCTTCCCCTGCAGGAACAGCCACTGAACCCCCAGATTTTGCCCCCCCTGAACGCAGGGGGACCCTCACCTTGCCGGGCAGGAAGGAGCTGTTCTTGAACACGCGGAGGAAGTAGGCCAGGAAGAAGGTGCCAGCCATGAGCACCAGGGACAGCAGCGCCGTGTTGGGCTCGGGCACCCCGGGCTGCACCTCAGCCTGCACGGCGTACACCCTCTTCAGTGGGTGTTGCTTGAAAATCTGGGGAGGGAAGAGGAGAGGGTGAGGGAGAGTGGGGATGGGGATGCCCTGCACCCCCCTGCCATGGTGGGAGCCCTGTGGCACCTTCCAGGTGGGTTCAGGATGGGAACCAGGGGCTGGGACAGGCTGAGAGCTCAGTACAGATTGAGCAGGGGGTGTTTTTGTGGTTTTGGAAGTGGGCACAGAGCAAGGGCTGGGTGGTACGGTGGGGATGGACAAGTGTGCCCCAAAATCCCTCTGCAGAGAGAAGAGTGGATCACAGGATCACAGTACAGTCAGCACTGGAAGGGGCTCATGAGCTGGGAAACACCTGGAAAGGGGGAGGCAGCACCAGGAGACTGCATCCCTCTCCTGCATCCCACTGTTTCCATGGAAACCTGGGTGATAACCACAATCTGCAGCCCCCCACCGTGGGACCCCCACGTCCCTCACCGTGGGACCCCCACGTCCCTCACCGTGGGACCCCCGTGTTCCTCACCGTGACCAGCTTGGAGAAGGTCTCGAAGATGAAGATGAGGGAGATGAGGAAGGAGAAGATCTCCTGCGTGTAGCGGGACAGGTAGCGCACCAGGAAGCTGCCCTCGCACGCCACCACCACCAGCACCAGCAGGATCAGCCAGAACCCGATCCAGACCCGTCCCACGATGTACTCCAGGCCATTGCTGCTGCAGAACTGGGGAGCCAGAGGGCACAACCCTGTCAGGGCGTGGGCACCCAGCTGGGCTGGACCCCTGTGGGGTCACCCACCCTGCCTGGGAACCCCCCTAGGGTGTCACCCACACGGGGGCAGCTGGTTGGCATCACCCATCTGGTGTCACATCACCCCAGGGCCAGCACCTGGGTGGCCCTACCTGTGTGAGCTCACCCCTGGGTCATCACATGGGTGGCATCACCTTCATGTGCCATCCCCCACACAACTGCACCCTGTCCCTGTCCCCGTCCCTGTCCCTGTCCCTGTCCCCATCCCCATCCCCATCCCCATCCTCGTCCCTGTTCCTGTGCCAGGGCTGATGGGGACACCCCAGGCTGGCAGTGGGGACAGCTGAGGGGCACACAGAGGGCACCCACCGAGTAAAAGGCTTCCTCAAAGACCAGGAGGGGTCCCGAGAAGCCGACGACGAGGAGGGGCTGGGCGCTGAGGAGGCTGAAGAGCACGCACTGCACACAGGTGGAGATGAGCAGCTCCGACACCCCCATCATCCCCTTGGTCTTCTCACCTGGTGGGAGCCGAGCTGGTGGGTGCCGGGCTGGGGGGACAGGGCTGTGCCCCCATCCCACAGCTCTGGGCACCGGGATTGGGGGAAGAGCCCCATGGGCAGAGACACCCCCAGCTCCATGCCCAGCTGGGGGGACAGCACTGTGCCCACACCTCTCAGCACGGGGATTGGGGGGAAGAACCCCCCTGGGCAGAGATGCCCCCAGCCCCATGCCTAGCTGGGGGGACATCCCCAG